TTTGCGTTTATCGTGTTTTGCGTTTATCCTATCGTGCGTGTATCCTGTCCTATCGTGCGTGTATCCTATCGTATCGTGCGTTTATCCTATCGTATCGTGCGTGTATCCTATCGTATCGTGTATCCTGTAAAGAATAACGATGCGGGTACAGTAAATAGGAGAAATCTTTTAAAAAAATCTTCTGATAACAGCGAAGCCATGATCACTCATATTTTTATGTAAGCATGTACAGGTAGTGTATGATCAGTTGAGTTCAAATCATGACCTCAGGGGTTAGGGTGTGGTCATTATGGGCAATAAAAGTTTTACAAAGAAATTAATAGGAAAAAATCTGTAAAAATCTTCTCAAGAACAGCAAACCATTATCAGTCATATTCAGATAGAAGCATCACTGGGTAATGTTTAAGTTTCTTCAAATCATGACTCCTGGGACAGGGTGGTGTCACAATGGGTGATCAAGGTTTTACATAGGAATACAAAGAAAAAATCTCTAAAAATCTTTTTCCCAGGAGCAGCAAAGTCATGACTCTCTGAGAGTCATATTAATATAGAAGCATCCTCAAGTAGTGTTGATTCAATTTTATTCTAATCATGACCCTTAGGGTAGGGTGGGGCCATAATTGGTGATTAATGTTTAACATAAGAATTCACAATATAAAGGAAATATCTTAAAAATCTTTTTGTCAAGAACAGGAAAGCCATGATTATTCATTTTTATTATATAAACATCCTCAGGAGTGTTAGGAGTAGGGAAGGGCCACAACAGGGTATCAAATTTATACATAGCAATATAAAGGAAATATTTAAAAAATCCTTTTCTGAAGAAGACCAAAGCCATGTTTAGACATATTTATACAGATAGGTCCTCAGGTAGTGTAAATTCAAGATTATTATTGTTGTAATCATTCAATGACCCACAGGGGTAGGACTTGGCCAAAATAGAAGATATAACTTACAGGAAAATTATCTCTAAATAACTAAAGACATGACTAGTCAAAGAAATATGCAAGCATCTAGACGTAGGACCATGTACCGAATATACGATACATACCGATATTTACTGCAGTTTACAATACATGCACTGAAATGCACAATACACAAAAGACTTATCAAAAAATTATAAAAATGAAAGTAGTTTTATGAAAATTGGTGACTTGTAAATGAAGCTTATAGATGATATTGATATTAAAAACAAGTCTTGCACTAAGAAGACATAGACATTGAAATGTTTTATCTTCTTTACAACCTCCAACTATCAAGATACGTATGATGTCTCAAGGTCTGTGTATCGTCCCACTCCTAGAAGCATCCTCAGTCACTTTAGACTCAAGTTTGTTCAAATCATGCACTCTCCCCCTCCCTACTTCTTAATAGGTTGTGATCACTTACATGTATATAAACTTTTCAATACTGAATTGATTTCTGCTTTTTCCTTAAAAAAATAGCTTGCCTAAGTGCTCAGGTGAGTGATGTTGCCTAGGGGTGCAACGATACACTAACCTCACGGTACGATACGTATCACGGTATTCAGTTCACGATACGATACGTATCACGATACATGACAAGGTTAAAAAGTCTTTCAAGTTTGTCACCATATTTTTTTTTTAAACTGGACAGGGTTATATAAAATGTTCATATTTTTTTGATGATAATTAAAATAAAATTTTGTTAACATGGATTGGATTGTTGGGTTGTTTGAGTTTTGACAATATTCTAAACCAATGATCAGTCTAGACGAACTCCAAAAACAGCGTTTCCGGAAGTAAGAAATTGAGACTGAAAAAGACTCCGAAAAAAGAGTCCGCGCATGCGCACCCATACAAAAATGGCGATTTTTCGGCAAAAATGATGGGTCTACAAAAACTGTCTGTGCAAAGTTTTGGAAAGTATGGCAATTATGACAGTACTCAGAAATGCTAAATAAAAGACTTGGGAAGAGATCGTATTTGTCAGATTTTTTATTTTATTTGCAAAAAAGAAGATATTTACTTTCAAAGTTGACGCTTGAAGTCAGATCAATCACAGAGAAAATGATACGTTTGAGAAGTAAATATGCATGATAAAAGGGATACAGTGCAGGAAACTAATTTTGTTACAGCATCGATGCTGATTTGAATGCTTCCTTTGCTTGCTGATTTAATGCTAGTAATCCTTATCCTGATGCTGTTTTATAATTAGGTCAGTCCTACCGGAAGTAGCATCATGCTACCGGAAGTAGATAAAGAATTTCAGCATTGCTGTTTAAAGCAATAAAAGTGCCTTTTACAATTATTTGATCATAATATCTCACTATGTATCAATAATGTGAATACTTTAACCAATATTCTTTCTTTCTTTTTTGATTTTTTACTGAATTAAAACTCATTGATTTTCTGATGCTAGTAGGATAATGCTGATTTTATGTAGGTCAATGCTGGTTTTATCCTTTGCTTGCTGATGCTGATCCTGGTAATGCTGTTTTTTAAATGCTGATGTTGATGCTAGCTCGATCCTGATGCTACTAATGCTTATGCTGATGCTGGTTTACGTAACAAAATTAGTTCCCTGCACTGTATATATGCAAAATGGAACAATATATATTGTTACTGTTAAAAACTTGACTGAATTTTACACATAAATTAGCAATCCGGCGTTTTATTTGAGTACGATATCTGAATTGAACACGTAAGTTATTACCATCGTTATTTACCGATTTTTTATCATATACGAACAAATATTATTGTGAAAACATTTTTTTTAACTATAATCTATCAATATGAAAACTATAAAAACCACTCTTATACAAATTAAGGTCACAACATGTCTTCTAAAAATGAACCTGTGAATATCTCTGCTCCGTGGTGAAAAATGCGCATTTTCTGATTAAAATAAACACAAGCTGGGTGTCTTCAAAAACAAATAAAAGCACCTGTATTTTAGGAATGACATAAAATTTAAATCAAGGGGACAATAAATCAAATAAGAAAATAATTCTTACCGGCAGTACTGAATTCGATGTCGTATATCCAATTACTATTATGCAAGAGTTTGAAGCGATAGATACGTAAGTCAGTATCCACAAAATAATTTAATAATGTATCCATTCGACAAAAATTAAAATAAAGTCACAATGCACTAAATACAGCCATTATGCAGCGTATATTTGGAGAAAGCGAACGACAATCCATCGTTTGTTTACATCGGACGCCATTTTATCGCAATGCATGATGGAGCCAAAGACTTCGTTTTCAGAGTTCATGCCATTTTTGGAGTTCGTCTATACTGATGATGAACATTTACAGGGAACTACGGGGACCTTTCCTTATAATCTTCCTTTTAAATTGGAATGAAAAAGGAAGACATTCATTCTTTTATTCCTTTTATTTACGTAGAAAACCAGTTGTCATATTTTTCGTGTTAACACGTTTTAGTCAACAAGACAGTGAATTTTCATCGAAATACACACGTGATGAAATATTGTATATTACCAAAGAGTACGTTTAGATCTAAAGGGTTTATCATTTGTCTTAACATCTATAACTTATAATCACATTAAGTCCTTCTCAGTGTTAAATCTGAGGTCTGTAACATGCTGGAGATAAGTTTAACTTCCGTTAATGCGTTATCGGCGACCTCACGTTTTGCGCGGTAGCCATTTTGAAATTGTAAAAAAGGAAACAAAACGAACGATTCGCATAATTCTGAACCGATTGAACCGAAACGCGATATCAGTTTAGGGTATCGTGAATTGAACCGTGGAAAAATATACCACGATATACCGTCAAACGGTTTATCGTTGCACCCTTAATGTTGCCCATTGTCCTTTTGTTTTGGCTTGTTTGAATTATAGTAATGTTAAAATGGTTTACTTTTGTCATCTTAAATATGTTTAACTTTAGATAAATACCTGGCACTTGTGCAATTGAGGTTTTTTTTTCTTTAAAAAAAAGTCCCTGGGAAAACGAGCTTGTAAAAAGATACACCATCATGATGATGTTCCTGGGCAACCAACAGACTAAAATGCTATAAAATCTCATTCTTCTTTATCTTAAAGTTTTAAACTTAGTTTTAGGATGTATCAGTATCCACACTGTCAATCATATATCTCTTCATAATTTAAAACACACCCACAAACGAAGAAAATCCAAAAAAAAAAAAAACTTTTAATCATGAAGATTATCTTGACCAATGCTTTATCATTTGTCACAAATATGCATTAGAATTTCATAAATACAAACCTTCTCATAATTTTTCTCTACTGGATGAAATTTGATATCAATGTGTGACTTACTGTTAGAAATTACAGGTAAAAAAAGTTTATTTTGATACCTTTCTTATTTTAGATAAGCCTACTTCCAATAAATAATGAAAAAAAATGTCATATTGCTTGGATATTTTTCTATAATTTGATTTCGTTTGTATTCTAGCCTCTGATTGGTTAATATCCAAAAAGGAACACAAATTATTTCTGTATAACCTGGTTTGGTATGGGGACCCCCCCCCCCCCCCCCCCCCCCGACAACCAGCTGAATCATCTGTATCCATACAATCCTCTCATTTCCAGTCCTCGGGATTCATGGAAAATTCCAGATTTAATAAATGTACCTTTAACTTCAAACAAAAATTCGATCTTACCACATGTAAACAAACAACAAGGCTGTATCAGTTTTTACCTCCCCTCGCTTCCCATCACTTCCGTTACTACAGTTGTATTATTGAGCGGCAAATTTGAACTGGTAAAAAGCAACGAAATTTTACACCCATAGTTATTTAATGATATTAAAATTAAATTATAAGGAATGACTCTAATTCTTGGCCAAATTATTCGAGTATAACCTGGTTTGGGTCAGTTTATGCTGTTTTATAATCTGCTTCACGGATTATAAAGCGTAAACTGACCCAAACCAGGTTATACTCGAATAATTTGGCCAAGAATTAGAGTCATTCCTAAAATATGTCAGATCTAGGTATTATATGGAAATGTTTTGAAAGACATGATATTGCTCAGATTTATATTACAGGATACTGTGCAGAATACAATCGAAGAGGTGGAAAAATACAGGAATTTTATAAGAAGTCCTGTGAAAATTGTGTGAATGAATACATCTCAACAGAAGCTTATAAATGTAAGTTGAATGCTTTTTATGCCTCCATAATTGGAGATTCGGGAGGAGGTGTATATATATACAGTACCGACCGGACACAACCTAACACCAGAGCGAACCCAAAGCGCACCCCGGGTTCGCTTTCTGGGTTCGCTCGGGGTCCGCTACGGGTCCGCTTTTAGAAATTTTGGGTGCGCTCTGGGTTCGCTCGGGGTCAGCTCTGGGTCCGCTAGAGCGAACCCGGCGTTCGCTTTCTGGGTTCGCTTTACGCACTCATGTGCGAAGCGGACCCCGCTTTAATCTTGACGCCAGTAAGCTCCGCCCCTTGTTTATTCCAAATACAGCAGTGAAATCGATCATTGTTGTTTTTGTGGCGATCGATACATGTGCATGTGCAGTGGCTGCAATGTTATTTTTGACAACATACACGAACGATCACGTTTTACACAAAATAGTTAAAAATATTTAGGAGTGGATATTTAAAAAAAAAAACCCCCAAAAAAACCCAAAAAAAAAACTTATTAATAGATATTTTAGATTAAAAATATTTACTGCTGCAATTAATCAACTTTGGAAAACTGGAAAAAAAAATTATATAAAAAAAAATATTTTTGAAACTACATGTAAATAAGATTTAATAGGTATTTTAGATTACAAATAAACATTAATGTAATTCTCCGACTCATGTTCTATCATATGATATAGATTGACTGTGAGTTTTGATTCTATTGGATTTTATAATATGCAGTATGGGGGTAAAAAAATTTTAAAAAGTGGCCTAAATAATGAATGAATACTTATATTCATCTTTCCATTTATGAATTCAAAAATCAGCATTTTTTTTTTAAATTCATTCATCTGCAGAAATTAAAATTATTATAAGTATCACGGATAAAAAGTAACCCCGACAATCATGTCGTGTACATTTGTCGACTAATTATTTATGTAAGTATTGGGAATTAATAATTTTTTTGTAAAAATGTACATTTCTGATGTATTGATATAAAAATATCATGACCACAATAAGCAGTTAACGTGACCCATCATCAGAGAAAAAAAAATCGTTAAACATCTTAACTATACGCTTAATCATTTAAAGTTACGCTATTTAAAAGAATACAATACTGTACGACTTATTATATTGCTTATTTACTACCGATAATTAGTTCGTTCAATAATGTACATGTAAATCGCGCGTTGTTTTTTTTTTTCCTTTTTATTTCAGTTCATAATAATAATAATAACTAGATGGTTCTCGTTGCGAGCAACGAGTGGGTCTTCCGTCTGATTCTGGATAAGATTAGTCAAGATCTTGACTGAGATATTCATCAATAAAAAGTAAAGGGATGCATAATGTTTAATACATTATTCTGAGCATCTTTTGTTCAATGTTGCTTATCAAAATATTTCCCCTTTTCGAGATATCAAGTGTCAAAGATTTTGCATTCTGGCCCCTTATGGCCCCTTATTACGTAACATATGATCAAAATTTTATAATATATAGCTGCAGAATGTTAAGATGAACATTTTTGCTTCAGTAATTCATAACAAAATATTCATCATTAAAAAGTTATAGATGAAAGACGTTTGGCCCTTCTGAGCCTCTAATTTGAGGGGTCAGCCCCTTTTTCTTGATATCAAATAAAAGGTCTTGTGATTTTGAACATTTTTTATTCAACAACTATTCAGAAATTTCCTTTCGTTTTAGAGATATATAGAATAACAATATTTAGGGGCCAGCCCTCCAAGTCCTTAATGGGGATGTCTTGCAAAAATTAAAGGGGTGTATATTGTTTAGAACATTATTCTGAACATCTTTTGTTCAATATTGCTTATCAAAATATTTCCCCTTTTCGAGATATCAAGTGTCAAAGATTTTGCATTCTGGCCTCTTATGGCCCCTTATTACGTAACATATGATCCAAATTTTATAATATATAGCTGCACAATGTTAAGATGAACATATTTGCCTCAGTAATTTATAACAAAATATTGATCATGAAAGAATTATAGATGAAAGAATTTTGGCCCCTCTCAGCCCCTAATTTGAAGGGTCAGACCCTTTTCCTTGATATCAAATGAAAGGTCTTGTGATTTTGAAGACTTTTTGTTCAATAACTATTCAGAAATTTCAATTCGTTTTAGAGATATATAGAATAAAAATATTTAGGGGCCAGCCCTCCAAGTCCTTAACGGGGATGACTTGCAAAAATTAAAAGGGTGTATATTGTTTAGAACGTTATTCTAAACATCTTTTGTTCAATATTGCTTATCAAAATATTTCCCCTTTTCGAGATATCAAGTGTCAAAGATTTTGCATTCTGGCCTCTTATGGCCCCTTATTACGTAACATATGATCCAAATTTTATAATATATAGCTGCAGAATGTTAAGATGAACATTTTTGCTTAGGTAATTCATAACAAAATATTCATCATTAAAAAGTTATAGATGAAAGACTTTTGGCCCTTCTGAGCACCTAATTTGAGGGGTCAGCCCCTTTTTCTTGATATCAAATAAAAGGTCTTCTGATTTTGAAGATTTTTTGTTCAATATGTTTTAACAAAATACTTCTATTTAAAATTTTATTATCAGAAATGTCTCTAAAATTCACTCATAACTCACGTCCTAAATTTTGACCCCTACCGAGCTTCCATACTTTGCACTTCCGGAAAATATGAAAACCAAGGTGCACATCTAGAACATGTCCTCTATCACCACTGAAAGTTTCAACACTCTAGCATTTGTCGTTCTTGAGTTTTTGTGCAGACACAAGGTCTATCTAAAAATCGATTAAAGGGCGATAACTTCTGACCGGAAGTGATTTTTCAAAAACTGACAAGCCTTATAAACTTCAGATACCAACGCATTAACCCTGAAAATTTGAAGCAAATTGATCGAGAGATCTCCGAGAAATCTTCTGCACAAAATTGGTAAGGAAAAAGAAAAAAATAATAATAATAACTAGATGAGATCTCGTTGCGAGCAACGAGTAGGTCTTCCGTCCGATTTTTCGATAAGATGAGATATGATTTTGACTATGATCTTTGTTAAAAGATAATTATATATATAGACTTCCATAATTAGATTTCAATCCTTTGATTTATATACATTATCAAAGAGCTATCGATGAATTGATTTTGGCCCCTCTGAACCCCTAGTTTGAGGGGTCAGCCCCTTTTTCTTGATATCAATTGAAAGGTCTTGTGATTTTGAAAACGTTTTGTTCAACAACTATTCAGAGATTTCTTTTTGTTGTGGAAATATGCTGAATGGAGATATTTAGGGGCCATCCCTCCAAGTCCTTAATGGGGCCGTTTGACAGAAATTGAAAGGGTGCATATTCTTTAAAACATTATTCTGACCATATTTTGTTCAGTATTGCTTTACAAAATATTCCCCCTTTTCGAGATATAAAACATTAAAAATTTAGTATTCTGGCCCCTTGTGACCCCTTATCACAAAAAAAATATGATCAGAATCTTATCATATATTGTTGTAAATCGTTAAGATAAGCATCTTTGCTTCAGTAATGTATTACAAATTATTGATCGTTAAAGACTCATAGGTTGAAGACTTTTGGCCCCTCTGAGACCCTAATTTGAGGGGTCAGCCCCTTTTTCTTGATATCAAATGAAAGGTCTTGTGATTTTGAAGACTTTTTGTTCAACAACTATTCAGAGATTTCCTTTGGTTGTGGAGATATGCTGAATGAAAATATTTAGGGGCCACCCCTCCAAGTCCTTAATGGGGCCGTTTGTCAAAAATTGAAAGGGTGCATATTGTTTAGAACATTATTCTGACCATCTTTTGTTCAGTATTGCTTATCAAAATATTCCCCCTTTTCGAGATATAAAGCGTCAAAGATTTAGCATTCTGGCCCCTTGTGACCCCTTATTATGTAACATATGATCAGAATCTTATCATATATTGATGTAATTAATTAAGATAAGCATCTTTGCTTCAGTAATGAATTTCAAATTATTGATCGTTAAAGAGTTAACGATGAAAGAGTTTTGGCCCCTCTCAGCCCCTAATTTGAGGGCCAGCCCCTTATTCTTGATATCAATTGAAAGGTCTTGTGATTTTGAAGACTTTTTGTTCAACAACTATTCAGAGATTTCTTTTCGTAGTGGAGATATGCTGAATGAAAATATTTAGGGGCCACCCCTCCAAGTCCTTAATGGGGCCGTTTGACAAAAATTGAAAGGGTGCATATTGTTTAGAACATTATTCTGACCATCTTTTTTTCAGTATTGCTTATCAAAATATTCTCCCATTTCGAGATATAAAGCGTCAAAGATTTAGCATTCTAGACCCTTGTGACCCCTTATTACGTAAAATATTATCAAAATCTTATCATAAATTGATGTAAATCGTTAAGATAAGCATCTTTGCTTCAGTAATGAATTTCAAATTATTGATCGTTAAAGAGTTAACGATGAAAGAGTTTTGGCCCCTCTGAGCCCCTAATTTAAGGGGTTAGCCCCTTATTCTTGATATCAAATGAAAGGTCTTGTGATTTTGAAGACTTTTTGTTCAACAACTATTCAGAGATTTCTTTTCGTTGTGGAGATATGCTGAATGAAAATATTTAGGGGCCACCCCTCCAAGTCCTTAATGGGGCCGTTTGACAAAAATTGAAAGGGTGCATATTGTTTAGAACATTCTTCTGACCATCTTTTGTTCAGTATTGCTTATCAAAATATTCCCCCTTTTCGAGATATAAAGCGTCAAAGATTTAGCATTCTGGCCCCTTGTGACTCCTTATTATGTAACATATGATCAGAATCTTATCATATATTGATGTAAATCGTTAAGATAAGCATCTTTGCTTCAATAATGTATTACAAATTATTGATCGTTAAAGAGTTAACGATGAAAGACTTTTGGCCCCTCTGAGCCCCTAATTTGAAGGGCCAGCCCCTTTTTCTTGATATCAAATGAAAGGTCGTATCATTCTGCACAACTTTTTTTTCTATATGTTTTAACAAATTCTTAACATGTATGAAGATATGAAAG